CGAAAGCTTATGCTCTAATAAATTTGTTAGTATAGCAAGGTTGCTCTCGTCAGCTTGAGAGGGATGCATTAAAAATTTGAGGAAGCTTTCATGATTTCTGTCTGGGGATTGGTCCTGCTTTGAGCAGGGGGTTGGACTAGATGACTTCCTGAGGTCCCTTCTGACCCTGATATTCTATGCCTGTAATCCTTGCAATAAAAAAAAAAATCAGATGGGGAGGTCCTCTTAATAAACTTTGCATTTACCTTGCTTTGCCTATGATGTGGGTAGCCATTTCTGAGGTGGTGCATACAGAAGGACCTTTAGTGTAATGGCAGCTGAATTCACAAAAACTCCTTTTCAAATGTAATAGGCTTCTAACCTTCCCCTTACTGATGTGGCATGTTACTAGAGAGAACTATCTACCATGTGCAATTTAAGCAACCCTGTTTGTTTAAGCTACAAATGTTTCAACCTCATGCCTACAGTAGCTGAAAAGCACTAGCCTATAATCAGGGCCCTGTGTACTCTGCAGCACATTTTTGCATTATTAAGTCAAAGCCTACAGCAATGTTAATTTATTCTATTACCATAGACTATCCCTCATTCTCACACAGATACGGCTAAGGTTCTGAGTTGAAAATCTCTAATGTAAAATTCACCAGACCATTATGAGCTCTTCTGTTATGCTCTCTGCAGGCTCAGAGGTTGTCCAGGCAGCCCAGCACAAACCCCTGGCGCTTGGGGAAGGAGAAGTAAGTTCATCAGTTTCAGTAGCTCAGCTCCATGGCTGACCTGCTGAGTCACCTATACTTCTGTTCCCGTTGTGCCCTGCTTGCAGCTAGACTTCAGCTTTGGCTCCAGGGAACGGTGGCAAGCAAGCACTGTAGTTTAACTTTTTGTTGGGGGGAGAGGAAAAAGATGGGGAGCAACAGGCAGGTAGCAGAAGAGGGACACAAAATAAAATGCCAGGTGTGAGGCTGCAGCACAGTAGGGAATTTCACATCAGAAATCCTGATAGTATCCAGTTTTGATACTTCACATATTGAACTATTTCAGTAAGGAGAGTGTTTCTGGGATTCCATGTGGCAAATTCATAGTAACATTTTACACACCTGTTCAATATTTAAATGTATGGTATTAATTCCTCAGTCATGGTTCATGCAGTGATCCCCATGCATCCACAAATGGTAACAATTATGTCTGCTATTTACATCCTCAGCCAGAGGGAAGAGGCCACACCCACTTTTTTGTATTTTTATGCATGGGGCTGTCACTGTCTGATTGTCCCCCTTGCATAGATTCAGAAGTTTCAAAAGCACTGTCCAGTAGGAAGGGTCATGCATGGACTCCTGTCCTCATGCCCCCTCTCCAAAGGGCATAAAGCAATAGAAGGAACTTGAGGGGGTGACTAGTCACACTAACTGCCTTTTAACCTAGTCAGAACTGCACAGCATCCTCCTTAGCCAGTTTTCCTGTGTAAGTTAGTTTCCTTGTTTCAACTGTTAGCTAGTTTTTAAAAAGTGGTTTTAGTTTAGGATTGAAGTAGTTTTCATTATTTGCCAGATCCATATTTGTTAAGTACATTGTTAGAGATTTCCCCCTCTAAAATGGACATAACCTGTTTTGATTATGAGTGCATTTTGATGGACTAAATGCTGCTATGTGCTGCAGGAGTTTTTAAAAGCACACCCACACTTGAGAGAACAGACAGGCCAACATTGGGGGTCCTCTGGATCATTAATTAGAACCCAGCCATCAGTGCCTCAGACTGGAGGTAACCAGTCTCTTTACCCTCTATCAGGCACTGTTCAACTTCTCAGGCTCATCTGTTGGAGCAGTCAGTTACTCCTGCTGCCCATTGAATTAAGCAATGCTGTGATAGATCAGTTGCCAGGAAGCAGTCACCTTCCCCAGTACCATAAAAAAGAGAAGAGAATCCCCTGGATCAGAGGAGCTGCTGAAAGCAACACCAAGCAAGTCACCAAGGAGCACAGTACCCCAGGGATGTGCCTCTAGTACAGCCCCACATCTTAAGGGATTGTTAAACTCCCACAGCACAGGCTTTTAGGGTTCCCATAGGACCAGTCTGTGGCACTGCCATACACTCTAACACTGGAACTCTTAGAACCTGCTTCTTCAGTCCTGACTCAAAGTGTATCAGAGATCAGACTCTGCAGTACCAAGAGCACCTCCTTCTGTAGCCTTTTGCTAGAAGTGCACTGAACACTGCCGCACTCTCCTTCAGGGAAGCAGCTGATACTTGGATAACACTTGAACTACAGTCTCTTTCCTTGGATTATATGCCACTGTCAAGTCACCCTCAGGATATCCCAGGGAGCCAGTCATGAAAATTTTGCTGGACTCCCATATTCTTGGATATGATAGTCTTTCACAAATGCTAGCTCAGCCTTCAGACTATCCTCCTTTCTCAGGTAAAGGGTCACATTGAGTAACTATTCTAGGATGCATGCAGTATAGTTGTAGCCATGTCCGTCCCAGAATATTAAGAGAAGAATTCTTGACTACCTCTTCATGATCACTTTAAAGATTAAAAGGGGCGTGATTAGCATGTTGCATCTATATTTTCCCTAGAAATTTTTTTTATGTAAAGCTCTACAGCAGTGGTTCCCAAACTGGGGTTCATGAACCCCTGGGGATTTGCAAAATGTTCCAGGGGGTTCTCAGGAAAAAAATCCCTAATGGTGGACAGAGCTGTCCCTAATGACCCCAGGCAGCACAGGGCTAGCAGCCCGGAGCCCCTGAACTTCCAAGAGCAAGCCAATGTACATGGCAGAGGGGCATTGCAGGGGACAGAGTAGGCAACGAGGTTTGCTACAGGGATTGGTTTCTGGGTTGGTGTTTCTGTGGTGTAGTGTGTAGTTGCTGGTGAGTATTTGCTTCAGATTGGGGGGTTGTCTGTAAGCGAGGACTGGCCTGCCTCCCAAGGTCTGTGAGAGTGAAGGATCATTTTCCAGGATAGGTTGTAGATCGTGGATAACGCGCTGGAGAGGTTTTAGCTGGGGGCTGTATGTGATGGCCAGTGGTGTTCTGTTATTGTCCTTGTTGGTCCTGTCCTGTAGTAGGTGATTTCTGGGTACCAGTCTTGCTCTGTCAATTTGTTTCCTCACTTCCCCAGGTGGGTATTGTAGTTTTACGAACCCAGGAACTAATCCCTGTAGCAAACCTCATTGCCTACTCTGTCCCCATATCTACTCTGGCGACACCATCAGAGGATCCAACCACATCAGCCACACCATCAAGGGCTCATTCACCTCCACATCCACTAATGTTATATATGCCATCATGTGCCAGCAATGCCCCTCTGCCATGTACATTGGCCAAACCGGACAGTCCCTCTGCAAAAGAATAAATGGACAGAAATTGGACATCAGGAATGGTAACATACATAAAGCCAGTAAGTGAACACTTCAATCTCCCTGGTCATTCTATTACAGATTTAAAAGTCACTATCATTGAACAAAAAAAACTTCAGAATCAGATTTCAAAGAGAAACAGCAGAACTAACATTCATTTGCAAATTTAACACCATTAATCTGGGCTTGAATAGGGACTGGGGGTGGCTGGCTCATTACAGAAGCAGCTTTTCCTCTCCTGGAATTGACACCTCCTCATCTATTATTGGGAGTGGACTACATCCACCCTGATTGAATTGGCCCTGTCAACACTGGTTCTCCACTTGCGAAGTAACTCCCTGCTCTCCATGTGTCAGTATATAATGCCCGCATCTGTAACTTTCACTCTATGCATCCGAAGAAGTGAGGTTTTTACCCACGAAAGCTTATGCCCAAATAAATCTGTTAGTCTTTAAGGTGCCACCCGGCTCCTTGTTGTTTTTGTAGATACAGACTAACATGGCTACCCCCTGATCCTTAATAATAAATAGTGTGTAATAAGCAGGTCATAAAAACAAATTGTGTATTTCCAAGATCATGCTTTTATAATTTATACTCAGGTAAAGGAGAAAATCCTTGGAAGTATTCATTTTTAGGAGGGGGTTCGCGAGACTTGACATTTTCATGAAAGGGGTTCACAGGTTGTTAAAGTTTGGGAACTACTGCTCTACAGGTACCATGAGATTATAAAAAAATTGGCACGATGGAATTTGGAGTGATGACATTCCCTCAGTTTCAGTTGGCAGCAGCAATTTAAGCTTGCTGAGCATGATTTGAAACCAGTCACTGAACATGCTCATCCTCTGTCTTTCCCTCTCCAAACTTATTTTGCTTGGACAACGGCATCACATAATTGTCCAGTAAAATTTAAGTCCCTTGGAAGGGAACAATGTTTGCACTTTAGGAGATTCTTCCATGAAGGATTAATGTTCCTCAGGCTTAATAGTCAAGACAAAATATGGGGTGTCCAGTGTCAAAAGTCAAAACAAATTCAAGATTTTTCTAGTATCAGAAAAGCAATATTTATTGCCTTGCTTTATGCATAAAATGCTATTTATACAGTATTAAACCAAGCAATCCACTGATTTAAGTTTAAAATTTATACACAAAAAAGTAATGATACAGAACATTCAGCTGACCGCTGTTTCGCCAAATTTTGAAGGTCTTATTTTGAAGCTTTTGCCTCTGAAGGATTTTCCCCAGTATCCAGTGTCTTCAGCAATCTGAAAAGGCCAGCTGCTTCTCGTATCCGACTGAACTCAATACAAAATGCCTGCACTTCTATAAACAAGTCCTGTACATTAATAATTTTGTTCCGGATCAAAGATTGGAGAAAGACACAAACGAGACGTACCAGGCGATTCTGAAACAGAAAAGGTCTGGCTTTAATATCTGAAAATATGCCCAAGCAATTCTACTAAAGAGTCTGACCCTTTGTACTGGTATTTTGTGACAATTCAACAGGAATTAGTTACATCAGTTAACCTACCTTTTCACTTCAAGATTTATACAATCTGCATTTAGCCCTTTATTTTCCCCCGTTTGCTGCCCTATAGTACTGATAAATGTTAAGGATAGGGAGCTGGACATGCTCTTCAATCCTGCATGAAATTTTTTTTTACTGATTGTAGGAACTAGGTCCTATCACTGTACACTTGCTTTATATGTAGGTGGCATGGCTATCTCTAGGGCAAAAACTTACATCCTAATACAATATTTCCACAATAGAGTGACTCAAGAGGATATTAAATATATGTACTGAGCATTAAAGGTAACTTAGTCATTACTTTTAGGAAAAAGAGCCCATTTTAAGAGTAATGTTTCCTAAAAGAAATTATTGCAGAATAGTTTATCCTCATGCTGGATGATGTAGAATGTTGTGGATTTTTTCAGACTGGGAGGAATTTTAAAAAGCTGGGAGCCATGCCAAACTCAAGGCAAGAAAGTTAGAAATACAGGGTGCTGCCTCACTTTGCAAAGGTTTTAGAAATGCCACACACTAGCCCTTAGAGCCATATTGTTTCCATTTCAAGTTAATTCTTTTTTGCACAGCATCTCCTTAGAAACAGAATGCCATCTGTTTGTTTTGGTTACTGTGGGCACTTCCTTTACAGCACTGAAAAGTGCAGGAGATTCTGGAGTGTTTCTCTGATGACAAAGCACATAGCTATGCAGAAATAAAGTTAGAAGTGGAAGGATCTGGAAGCTTGAGGACAAAGAAGAGGCAAAACATCTAATATGTGGATGGAGAGAAGGGTACCAAGTGAGAAATCGGAACCTCTCTGACACCATATATAGACCTGAATAATGTAAGGGAAGCACTGTACAATTACTTTGCTACTGAATGCATGAAGTACTTTGCAGAAAATTAAGACCACTACCTGTGCCCCTATGAAAATGCTGAAGGAAGAACCCCTACTCCATCATATGCTTATTAAACATCATAATTTCATTAAAGCGGTATTTTGCTTCTTGAAGCCACAACTTGTAAAGAGGGAATATGTGAATTCCCAGTGTAGTCACCTTATTAAATCTCAGTACCTGAATATGCCTCATCTTGACTTTTAACCAAGTCATTCTCAAATACCCACCTGCATGTATTTATCCTTAATCTGTTCACAGGTAGAGATGCAATTGGAGATATAAAGGTGAATAAATTCAGGAGGGAGATCAACTGCTGTAGTAAGCCTGTTAAACATAAAACAAGCTGATTAATGTACAGATAAACTAGCAAATTAATCATCCATAGTACCATTAAACAATGGACAAATACAGTTAATCTCATAATTCAAATGCGTCTGATTCATTGACAATCCACCGTTATGTCTCAGGGAGTTGTCAAAAGCCCACAACTCCAAACATTTTAGTTATGTCCAATAAGTGTGTTGCACTAGCCAGACACCAACATCAAAAGGCAAATCTATTTTTACATCAAGTGCAATACAGAAATTGGTTTTATTTAAGGTTACTCTCTAGATGTCTGCATGCAGGAGGCCTATGTCAAAGGCACCCATGTGATCTTTACTCCCTGTCTAATAAGCAGATACCCTACAGAAGCTAATGATGGGCACTGCTTGCAGAGCAACAGAAACTCTCAAGTTGCTTATTTGAGTAGATATTGAGCTTATTTGAGTGACAATTTCATACTGTAGCAAGCATCAAATGCAACTGTGTATATCAGCATCAGATATCAAGTACAGAAACAAGCATTTCTTCTAAAGTACACAACTGGAATAGCATGATTTTGTGCTTCATAATGTTAGTTTGCCTTAGTTTTTTTCAGGATTCTAAATTTAGAAGTCATGGGAATTAGAACATTATTAATATCTGGATTTCAAAATAAGTGCAAAAGAATTCAAATGACGAAACATGTTAATCACACTATTGGTGTGAAGAACCAGAAGTGTCTCACCAAAGAAAGAACTAGAGAACATTCTTTTAAAATACCAAAAAGCAAGAGAGCTTGTGCTTTCAGAATAGTGCTATAGACAAAATATCTTCAATCACCCAATACATGTACTATACTAATGGATCGTTAAGGTGTACAACTGCCATCTGACTTTTGTTTCAAGTTGTTTGAATACTCACATACAAAGAGAGGCAATACAACTTATGAATGATCTTACATCACATTTGAAGTATACCAGTTAGATGCCAGCTCTGCAAGATGCTCCAGCTTGCACTAGACTGCTATGCAACCAACATGGAACTTTGCTGGATCACAAAGGTTTTGGCTTTTTAATGAAGTGGTTAGGAAGACTGAAGCATGTAGGTCAGTAAGCGTCTTATCATAAGACTGCAAGTGTTTTTTATATCCCACAGGACATTTACTTTATCTGATCTCCCTCACCTCAAACTGCCCTTTTGGCACTGCCAACCATTTTAAATTTTATG